CAGACCATATTATGATATATAACTCTATTTGAAACATGCTTTAGTAATGAATACTTAATGAAATGCAAAATACTCAGTTATAACTTCATTTGGAGAGCAATATGTACTCCGTTGGGACACACCTTTCCACTCGACTCAAAACATAAGATGTAGCAAAACAGGTGCAATGGTTATTCAGATTAATTATTCTAAGACATTCCTCCTGCGCCCGTTGGTCCTGAACGAACTTGAGGACCTTGATTTATTGAATACAGGTTTATTTAACGACCGAGAAAGCTGGTGTAGCAACACCAATACTTCTACTCTGGAGGCAGGCAATTTGAATATCGACCATGTTACCGGATGCAGGCTACTGACTGAGATCTTACTGTCTCCCCAGTTATTATATCGAGGCAGTACCTCCAAACAGGCCGTGTCATTTTCCTTCGACATGCGTCTTATAATCACGTTCACATCTCATTTCACATATACCACAAACAAAATCACTACATTTCCTCATATTCAGTTATTATCAGAAGTTGGGACAACTGAGTGAGAAATGTGACTGGCTACCGGCTGGACGACCGAAGTTCGATTCTCTGAAGAGGCAGGCATCTTTATCTTCGTTTCGAGGTCCAGCTTGAATCAGGGGCTGCCCATAACCCCCACTCATTGTAGTTAATTTGCGATCGGATGAGACCATATTTCTGTGGAAGTGGTTTTCTAACGGACCCACTGCCCCCCCCCCCTCCCAAAATGATACACGAGTGAATATGGGGCAACGGTGGAATCATATTGACAGGGAAAAACGGAAGAACTCAGATAAAAAACCGATCCCAGTGCCATTTTGTCCACCAAAAGTTATATATGAACAGATCTAGGTGCGATTCCGGCCTCCGAGGTGAAAAGCCGTCAACTAACCGCCTTAGCTATGGCACGACCACTCCCACTGAGTGCCAAGTGTAAAGCGGACGAAATACGAAAATGACCACTCACTAACCTTCAACCAGTCCCGCGATAAGAAACCCACCTCACGTCTTCATGACACGAAGTTTAAAAATAGACAACTTCAGAGCTCACTGTTTTATGCATCCTCATTCAATGATTTTCTATGAACTGCGTTACGTTACTGGTTATAACATCGAACAGCACGATGACAAATGAGCAACCTTTTGTGGACAACCTGAAAGCACAGTCTCTGCATTTTCTTGCGGGACTAAATAAAGCTACGAAAAATATCAACCAGTGTAGCTGGTTTCCGGTCTGACGTGTGTACTCGAAACCCCCGAATATGAAGCAGGAACTTTAGCCACGGTAACAGCTTATGCCAACACTACGGTGACGTTTACATAAGAGAAACTGATCCCAAGAGTTCATTTTAACAATTAACTGCAGGAAGAAAAATCCAGCCTTGTCGCTCCCACGTAGGCTTCAGACTCGACACTAGGAACCGAAGGTGTACTGCACGAGAGACCCAATTTTAGTAAAAGGACACGCCTCTTGGTTGTAGGTTAGAATGACGGTATGCAAAATAATCAAGAGCTGTAGGGATAGAACTGGCTCAGAATAGAAAGAGACGTCAGGCTTTTGTGGTACACGAGACGTATTTTGCATTTCATGACAGCAGAAAATTCCTTCGTCAGATACACAAGCAGCGATCATTCACAGAACTCTCTGTGTTAGGGAATGTTCATTTCCACTTTTATATTGTACATTAAGAAGTCGTAAATCGTAGAATTACAGTTTTACGACGGACTGCTCCCACAGTGTCATTCCCGTGAATTAATAAAACAAGCTATTTTTATTTCGCTAATGATTATTTGTCGCTAGTATTAGGTATAAGTCGACGAAGTATCATTCGGTTAAAGGTTGTACAAATTTACAAGTTCCTGGAACATTATTAGCATATCAATAGCTTCTGTATGCATTAACACCAAAATCTTGATGTTTACAATGTAAACTGTGACTTATGCACAAAAATCATGTCATTATACGTAAATATTGCCTACAATTGCTGGGACGGTCCATTCAGGGCTGCTGAGATTGAACAGACACGCAAGTTGGTATCATTGAACGAAAGAGCAGAAGAGATGGCAATATTAAAATTGTTCATACAGATTTGGGTTACTTCAGGATCATCACACCGGCGAAATTTTGTATTAATAATATCGAGTCCTAGAGCTCTGTTATCGTGAATTAAATTTCCATTCTTAATTCGCCACTGACATCATAACGAATTTATTTACCGGCGTCTCCAAAACCCTCTCAGTATATATATTTTTCTAATATGTAAGGGGAGACTGGGGCAGTGACGCACGTTTCGGCCAGCTAGAGATCGCAGGTTCGATAATAATCTGGAACATTCGAAAGGAAGAGATCACTGCAGAGATCTAGGCGCAGAAGAGAGGTGACAGAAAAATAACTCTTAAAGAAATATGTTACAAGGGTGTGAACTGGATTCGGCATTTACAAGATAGAATTCAGTGGTGGGATCATTTAAACGTTGCAATTTACCTTACGCAGAAAGGACTCTTTTTCCATGGAGTTAGTATCAAAGAAAGGAAACATTTTGCCATATTTTAAATACAGGTACTTAGGAGGCAGGCCTACAGGTTATTTAAAGAAGACATTGACATGTGGGTTTCAAATTAAAGTTGCCTACTACTACCAAATCTACGTGTTTTACTACAGGGAACGCCTTAACCGTTCTTAAATTTGACCAAACATCGCATCTTGATTAATTTGCATTTGCGCTGATCCCAGTTTGTCACATATCCAATACCGATACAAGACTGTCTTCAAGGTTACGAGATGTACTATTTAGTGTGGACATATATGGTACTACCGGTTACAACACCGTCTGTCATGTGTTCTCCAGCATTGCTGGCTATGAAAATCATGCAACAGGACTGCAAAAGCGGAATTAATTCGTCCATCCATCCTACTATCAGTACGGTTGGCATTTACAATGACCTCAGGCATTTACAATGAACTTCCCGTATACATTTCATAAGTCTACATAGCTCTTATTTCAAGCACGGGCATACATAAGACAACTGCTGTTTCAAGTTTATCAACAACAGATTTGAGCGTGCGTGACAATTGCAGTCAAGAAGCCCAACTTAAATTAATTAAATATATAAAAGAAACATGTCATACAAAAACTAAGAAAAATAAAATAAAGAGAGTATCATAACGTATATCGTCTATTTAAAAAAATTGTGTGTATATACTGCATGGCGAATACTAAATAGAATATAGCTAAATATAGCTGACTCCCTACACTATGATACTAGTGACATTAGTTCGGCAACAACGTGTTTATAACTGCGACAAATGCACTTCAAGAGTAAGAAGTTACTATTGTTTCTTTTTCGTAACATCAGTGTATGCCTTAACTGAAAACTTGACAGGCTTACACAGTTCGTGGGTTGGTCATCACTGGTTTAGAAGAATTATGACACCACCGAAAACTCAAAAAAGAAACTAAGGCCACACATACGCACACTTAGGTGGGCATGCGTAGGGCTACTAATATTTATTCACTCATTCATTCAGATTTAAGTATTTTATGTTAAGTACACGTGTAATACTCAAAATAGTGATTCATAACTCTCGCGAACTTCCTCAGATCTTCCAGTATCGTGACGCAGGCCTGACTACTGTCTTCCCGGTACTCGCAAATCACAATTCTGTACCTAACTATATACAACGTCGTTCAGTAACTCACAAAATAGGTTCAACATTTATTTTACCCCAGTCATTTTCGCCTACATCACTTAAATACACAGAATAAGTCAAATTCAACAGTACGTATACAATACACCCACATTTAAGAGCTCTATACAAACGATAACTGTAATGAAAACAGACTACAGAATTACTTCGCTGGAACACGTCACCTGCTTACTTCACTTTTTATACACGCACTGTAATCATTACAGTTTCTAGAAATCTTACCTTCGTCACTTCTCTCGTTAGAATTTCTCAGCCAGCAAAAGGCGACTCTTTGGTCGAAACACCAAAACTATCTGTGCAGAAGTCCACAACTGCTAATAACTCGCGTGTAGCATAAGCAACACGGCACACTCCACCGAGCAATTTAATCGTGCAAACAAACCGACCGCTGTCCACAAAAAAAAGAACTTCCCGTATACTGGTATTCGAACAAACTTCGATGCACTGCTATACTTCACACGCCTCTTCCATCTACACTCTTACTTATCTGCCATACAGACACGTCTAATTATACAGCAATACGCAGAGATATGTGACACAATTCAGTAATCGGGGTTTCTAATTGTCCAACAGGTGCTTGGTTCGGCCACACTTGCATCAGTCATGGCGGGGTCAGAGGAGAAGTGACTGGCAGGTTAAATGATGGAGGGGAAGTACGGAAGGTGGAGTGGGTAAGATACCAAGTTCCCCTCCGATATACAGTCTCCGAGAGAGAGAGAGAGAGAGAGAGAGAGAGAGAGAGAGAGAGAGAGAGAGAGAGAGAGAGAGAGAGAGAGAGAGAGAGAGAGAGAGAGAGAGAGAGAGAGAGAGAGAGAGAGAGAGAGTGTGTGAATTTTTATCTCGTATCAATGGCACGTTCTCCATGAAGCAACGTCGATTGTCGCTTTCCGAACACATGTACAAGAAACCATAAATACTGTCATGTTTCCATGGGTGAGATCTTGTGACCCAGTCCAAACAATTTCTGACCTATCACCGACGAACGACTTCTGATACGAGAGAGAGAACGCAGAGCTATGTCAGTGGCGTCGCCACACACGGAAGATTGTGTAATTGTGATGATGTAAACGTTCTCTACTTCCCAAGAATCGATTTTACAGCTGCGATCAGATTACTTTGTTGAGAAGCATCTCTGTGTGTTGTAGAACCGTAACATTATACGCCATTTTCCCCACCGAACAAGACTACCAGCGGAAGCTTCTGTTGTCAGCAACGACACAGAAAAGACGGATGTGGTCACTGTTCTTATCGTATCTTTTACTGCAATTTGGGTAGAACGCACATGTCGGCCACAAAATGTTCCTACCCTCCAATACTCACAAGGACATTAACGAAGGAGTCAGCATCATCTAAAAACACGAACGAAAGGCCTACTCTATTTCTGTTTCGAATTTGCGTTCCTACAATTCCTTCAAGCTTCACACATACAATCTTTATTTTGCATTATCTATCGTGTGATGGATTGTGACGACAGTTCAATTTACGGTTATCATGCGAGAATAGTCAACGGTTAATAAGAGAATTGGGAACAAAGGAACGCATCATTTGGCACGTCCTTACTGTACACCACATCGGTAAATAAATGTATACACTTATTCGGAGTTCTGAATATATACAGAACGTCCCAAAAAGATGCACGCACATTGCTGACGTATGTAATGGTTGTGTGTACACATCATCTCGGGACACCTGCATTTATGGGCGTCGTTTGGTGCTTAGAAACAAGTTAACAAACAAACAACTGTAGCAGTAGCAAGAATCTAGAATCTAGGGTCAGGAGTGATTACGTCATCAGGGACGCGGATATCACGAACACGTCACGAAGCAGCATCATATCCCGTCACTACAACGTACGACGAAATAATATAAAGATAATTAACTCGTTCAAAAATGTGGCAGAGTTTATATATTTGTGTACAGTAAGACATCAAAATTACGTTCACGAAGAAGCTACAGGTAATTTAAATTAGGGAAATGCTTGATACCATTCCGCAAACATGTTAACCTACGTGTCTAAAATGTACAAATTAAATTACTTGAAACTAAATGTACATATTATTTTGTGTACATGCGCAAAGTTTTCGCTAACCTCCCCCCCCACCCCAAATAACGCAGATTGACAGTGTCTGATAACAAACTGGTTGTCTCCTCGGGAGAAAAGATAACGAACAATAATTGCATAATGAGGAGCTTCATAATTTACAGTCGACTGTTAGGGTTGTCAAATCAAGGAGGATGAAACAGGCAGAGCACGTAGTTCGCTTCCGAGAGGTAAAAATACGTTCAAAATTTCAGTCGAAAAACCCAAAGGAAAGAGACAGCTTGGGAGACCTAACCCTAAATGAATGGCAAATATTAAAATGGATCCTCAGAAAACAGGGAGTGAGAATGCAAACCGGACACGAAAGATTTAGGGTCCAACAGCGGGCTGATGTAAATACGGTCATTAACCTTTGGGTCCCCTAACTTTCTAGACCAGGTGAGCAACTACCACTTAAAAGACGGCTGTACCCCGTGGAGTCAATTACATTCACCCAACACATGAAACAATCTGTGTAACATTATATACTGTGACGTATCATTAGACGGACCGGAAGAATATGAACCTATCTGGATCAGCTGAAGTTAGCTGTCGATGTCGGATGAACGCTTTTACCATCAGCATCTTGAATTCAAGGGTCATCAAGGTGCTTCTTGAAGCTGCAATGACTACTAAATGAACGAACATCACACACGCTGGGCTTTGTTTCCGTGAAAAGCCTTTACTGTAACTTAATAAAATTGCAAATAATTTCATAATTGTTTTTAGGATATCTGGTTTTGCTTCACTGGGCTGCACAAACGCCAAGAGTTGCCACATTTCATTCTTGCCATGTCTTGGGATATAACCCAATTTTTTGTAGCCTACAAAGTTTTGATTTCAACTCCTGTCGCCTAATAGCACAAGTGCCTGATATGCTCCTGAGTTTGCAATAGCTTCTTTGTGGTTTATGGCCAGTGTTTTTAGGCTGGCTAGTATCACAGAAACGAACTTGGTGTGTTCGGCCAGAGTCGTAGGCTATGCCGTTATCAGCAAACGCGCACACACACACATTCTTCTGATTGATCCGTTTGTTATGTTGTGCCGGGAAAAATTGTCAGCGCGTTTTAAATCTAGAATCCACCGTAAAATAACAGGGCTGTAGGTGCCTGAAGTGTTGTTATTTTTGTAAACAAAGTGGAGCAACAGAAGTGATAGTACTGGAGGTGGCGCTTGTCATGGCAAAGAGAAGGGGAAAACTGGAAGTGGGGAAAGCATAATGGAGGGAGTTCCAAAGATTAGAAAGTAAACACAGCGTCATAACTCATGACACGAACTCAGAAACGACATTACGTTCCTCTGGGCGGTTGAACGATGCGCAGAAAGAGGAAGCTGACAGTTTGCTACCTGGTTCTGCGCGTTTCATATTTTCAATTTCCTCCCCTATTTCTTTCTTTTTGCACTTTCCAGGCGTCTGTGAAAACTATTCACCTCTTGCACTGTTGACGGTTGGAAGGGCCACAGTACCGGCAATAAACTATTTTTGGTAAAATTGTTCAGTTATCTCAAAAAGTTTCCGTTCATAAAGACGAACTTTACACTGATGTTCACTTCATATTCTTGAAACCCGAGAATTTTTTTAACTAAAGGCTGGTTTCCGCTTCATTACAGGTTCCGTTTTCGGCAGGTTTTACTGAATCCCCGTCCCACAGTTGACACGATGGTGCTCAGGACTTGTATAATGATAGAGCAAATAGCCAACAGCACCTTCCACACACACCTGCCAGGATGCTGAATATTCATGTCTTCTGTCACTGCCTTTGCATCCACATCTGATCGCTCGTCCGGAATTTTTCCTGTAAAGATGCCATCTGCTCCGTCGCTTCTAGCGATGCTGTGCTTTCGAACTCTGTACGTCAACAGTCACTGCTCCAGATTTTTCTTCCGCCCAATGGCGACAGTTTATATAACGACGTTACGTCAACCACATCAATTATACACATATCATCTACGAGCATATTTGTCTAAAAAGTGTACAAGGGTCCGATAATTAATATCCTAATACCATTCCGTTCAGAATCTTCTATATCCGCCGCCCCTTATCTAAAAACACAAAGATCACACGTATAAAACTGTTTTACATGCGTGTATAACTTTATCTCACATGAAGGGAAAAACACAGATTCAGGACATCTGCTGATATTAAGTGGACGTAACGTGAAATTATTTGCGCCTAAGAGACACAAAGTAACTGGACGACAGAGAAAACCACACATGGAGAAGGCTCTTTTTTTTGTAATCTTCGCCAAATATTATTAGAGTGATCAAATAAAACAAATTTAAATGGGCGGGGCATGCAGCACGCATAAGAGTTGTCTCTCCCATTACGATTTTCCAAAATCGTGTATAAAGGCATGGATTAATTTCTTAGAAGCATCGAGTAGTAAGGCGATTTTTGGATGATGAAGTACAGAAGTTCTGACTGATGCTGAACACAACAAAACACTTTCTAAACACAGACTTCCTGAATATGCAACTATATATACTAACTACTCGATCGCAATGTTCGGTGGAGGTGTGAAGATAAAGCTCCACGGATTCTTAACTTGCGTTCTAGACGGAGGTGAGAGGTCAGTTTCACGCCCCGGTCGTTTTATACCCGGAGAAGGAACCCCATTACCCAGTGGACAGGAGGCTGGCCGGATTCCGCAGCCCGTCTAGATATTGTGAAGAAATAGTAATTACGCCCCTTCGGATATCGAACCACGGTCGAACAGCATATTCATTGGGCCTCATCTATTATCACAACAAAGGACATTCGTTACCCTTTGGACAGGACTCTGGACACTTTGGTGGTGAATACACTTCCGAATACTGCTTCTACCAGGGATCGAACCCTTGGTGTCCGTCCATCGACCGTGATTGTTTTTTGTAGATTTATAACTTGATCGACAGCAGTGGAACACTTTACTGCCGAGTTAAATACAGATCTCTAACTTTTAGAAAAAATGACGCGCATTTTTGGTGCACTTGTCTTCTAACTAATGATTTCCTTCACATGTTGTCCATTTCAGAGTAACTTGGCGGATATGTTAACACGTCAACAGCTACGATCGCCTGAAGATAATCAAGTACGCACATGTAATAATTCGGCTTCAGATATCTGCCGCTGTTGTTTTAACCTGGCGCTTTACTGATAAGGATGACCCGCATTCCTGGCCATCGAGGTTGAAGACTGATTAGTCGAAAGGCTTTCGACAAACGTTTGTCGTTTTCCAACGAAAGCAATTGATTAGATTGTGCAAATTCACCGTAACGTTTCGAAAGATGGTTCAGCTGATTAGGTTATACAGTTTCACCTCCAGCCAGGCGAATATTTTCAATGCTTGTTGAATGCATCGTCACAGTTTCAGTGTCGCCACACACTGTGGACGCATGGAGCCTCACCATTAGGGTTGAAATGATGAACCTATCAACGTCTCAGCCAGGTCCGTGGGAGCAACTCCTTATTTTTCCACTTGCGAGATATGATTCCGTTTACTCTCCCCGTCCCTACAGATAACAATTAAAATCTTTTCACGACACACCCAAGATCCTGTCTGACAAACGACCTTGCAGGACATGTGGGGTGTGGGACATATCTCCGGAACTACCTCACACGGCGAGTTACAACGCTTGGTCTTCGCACCCTTGTGGTACCTACCAAGACACGTCAGCCCATCGGTTAAGTGCCAGCGTCCAAGATCGATTCTTCGTTTTCGACAATTACGCCATTTTCTATAAGAAGTGGCTAATTAAATCGTTACATCCGTCTGTCCGTAAACATAAAACAACGAGAATGTAGGTCATTCTAAATGAAAAAAATATACTTCAATTGTTTCAGCAAAATATTCTAACAATTACGAAAATATATTCCTGACTGAGTTTCAACTGCGTTGAAAACAGACATATCTTATTCTATTAATTTAGCGTTGTGTTCATTACCTCCCTGAGAACCTCATATCTCATATTTTTCAAATTTATATATATAACCGAAACAAGCTTCTCTTAAAACATGTTCATGTGTTGATTTGTGGACACCCTATTCTGTGGAAAGTTGATGGTAGTGCCATCTCTGAAACACATATAATATTATTATGTCAAGCCGGCAAATGCAAGTTATTTCCTCAGGAACAAACTAAAACAGAAATGTTTTGGTCTCCATGAGGTCCTTTAACTTTGTTCCCTCTAAGTAGGTGGTGTAACATTATATATATATATATATA